TACTGTGTGTTTGGTGGGAAGAAGACAGAGCTTCGGTGGCAGTTCTTTTTGTGTCTGTGGTGGGTGAAAGGCAGGAAGAAGGGAGCAGGTTGAAGGAGGGATATATTCTATGTATCTCAGTTAGAAATTTGACTTACCTTTCGCGTAGAAACTTTTATTGTAAGTGGTTATTAGGTCCCAGAGTACTGTGAGTGCTGATAGTGCTATTTTTTCCTATGAGGAAATGTGTTCCAGTACCAGCGTTTACAGAACATCACCCACTAGTAAATTGTAGAAATTGCTTATTCAGTTTTACTTTGTGGTTGTCTTTTGTATTGAAACATTGTGGCAACCAGGAAAAAGTCTTCAGATTTCCTGTCATTTTTTAAGGTAGGGAAGGGTTACTGAACAGATACTCTTGATTGAAACTGAGTAAGGCTAGACCAGTAAACCAAAATGACTCCATTTTCCCTGCAGAGAACTTTGTTACTTTTCTCCCCTCGGTTATGAGACCCACCAGGGCAAATGATTACCCCCCGGCCCACCCTGATAAAACAGACTGAGATAAGAGGGGAACCGATATTCACTGAGTTGCAAAACCCCTCCCCAAGGCTTGTTTACTGTAATTGTAAAAATTAAGTTACAGATTAACCTTAAGACCCCTTTAGGAATTCCCGCATGCATGCACACAAAGCTTCAAGATGACTGCTACAGTGACCTTCCTAGGGTGACGATAATGAACACCATCACCATCTTGAACCTACTGAGCAGGCTTAAGGACCAAATCCCTAAGTGAGCATGCACCCATGACACAACCAGGAAGAACGGAATAGACCACCTCCGTTGACACTGGCCTGTACCCCTTAACTCCTTTCCCTACAAAAGACCCTGAACAGCTCTCTTCGAGAGGCTAGCTTTACTGTAGCTACCCCCTTTATGCATAAGTCTGTCACCTCTTTTAATAAAGCATTGCTTGCCTTACTATTGGGTGCATTGTTCATTTCCATGACCCGAGAGCATAATACGGTACAAGCCAGGAAGTAAGGGGACTCTGGGTGCCAGGAATGGCTCTGGGATTTTCCCCATGTATCACGTGTGCTGCTCTAATATCTGTACCAGCGAAAATTGGAAAGTCCTGGGCACCAGAGGAGATTCTAGCTGCAAGAGGCAAGTAGACACTGGGACTATTTTGCTCTGTAAGACCGGCCCGAAAGTGCGAATCTTACTTGTTGGGAAGGCTCATCTCGCAAAGACCAGGAGACAGAGATTGCTGCAATCAAGCAAGAGGTTTGTATTCCAGCATGCTGGGGTTGCTCCGTCTTCAGGACAGAAGCGGCCCTGAGCTCTTAACACAAGCACTTTTTATACAGTTTGGTAGGCAGACTTTGGCAACAGGATGAGTTGTACACAGCTTATTGGTCATCTGAGGTGACTTTTAAATTCATTGGTGGTACACAGGCGAGAACTGGGGACGTGACCCATCATCTAGTAGTTGGGCCTTTCCTGGAACTGGGTGTACTTCAGGTTCCTGGAATGGCCCACCCTTATAGCCGTTAGGCCCTTCCTGGAAATTCCTTTTCCCCTGGCAATGGAAAGTTCCAAAAAGGTTGGTGGGTTTTTTAGCAATACAAATACTATTTAAACTTAATTAATCTACCTTATCACACAGCAGGCAGTTTTACAGAAGCGAATTGCATATGTTATGAAAGCGGGGGGTTGATTTTATCTCTACAGCTCCCGTGTCTCTGCTCTTGGTAAGTTTCTCCTTGAGCCCCTGGCCTAAATTCTGACAAGACAGTGCTTTATTCTCTTTTATGCTCCCTTTTTCCTTCCCTTTTCTTCTTTATGTTTCTCTAATTTTCTGAGCCCTCTTCTGCTGCTCTGTATGAGCACACCCTGGAGGGCTCCTGCCTATGCTTTGTTTCTCTGATTTAAATCTAGGTGGTATTTTTCTTCTTTGTGCCAACAACAGAGCAGAGAACTGCTTTTGTTAATTACTGTGTCAGTGGAATAGGTTGGCCCTGCCAATTGGGACCAGGATAAACTGGACCCCACTACTCCTCTTTTCTCTTTGTTGTTTGCTTGGTTAGACATTTAGTTGAATACCTGTAATCTGAATAAACCTTCCAATTCTTGCACCAACTTTTGGACTTTCAAGTCATTTGTTTAGTATGAGAAAGCAAGCCAAGCCTGGTCTGTTGGTAGCATTCTGGGATACTTATTTCTTATGTAGATATAATCAGCATTTTATGAATGGTAAAATACTAAAAGAAGGAGGCATTTGGAGCTGATGCTATTAAATCCTTATCAAGTTATTCATTCTTAGTTTTTTTAAAGCATTGAGCATTAACTCTTTTTTGTTTGTTTTTTAAAATCAGATTTATTGAGGTTAATTTGTATATGACAGAATTCACCGAATGTATGCCGTCATGAAACCATGACCACAATGAAGACACAGAACATTTTCTTCACCCTAAAAACTTTTCCTCTGCCCCTTTGCAGTCAGTCATTTTTCTCTAGCCCCTGGCAACCACTAATCTGTTTTTTGTCCCTATAGCTTTGCCTTTCCCAGAATGTCATATAAAATAGAATTATGCAGTAAGTATATAGTCTTATGGGCCTGGCTTCTTTCCCTTGGCAGAATGATTTTGAGATTATTTTACATGGTTAAAATACGGAGATGATCAAAGTATGATTCACAGACCACACGATTTATTGCCATACAATGATTTTTATTCCATCTTCATAATGTTTAAAGAGGAAGAGAATAATGAGAACAAATCTCACAGGAACACACTTAACAGATAAGGTCCATTAATCACATAGTGAGTTGCAATTTCATTTAGGGTCCAGTTATTAAAGTCTCATTGCTCAGTTAGGATGAAAACTGTTCTCTTTGGATGTGAAGTCTCATCAAAATTCGAAGCAGGGCCGGCCCGGTGGCGCACTGCTACAGTGCGCCGCTTGAGAGCGTGGCGGCGCTCCCGCCGAGGGTTCGGATCCCACATACAGACCGGTTCCGCTCACTGGCTGAGCGAGGTGCGGGTGCAGCGCTGAGGGTTGCGATCCGGTTGCCGGTCCCGGTCCGGTACGGGCGCGACACTGAGGGTTGCGATCCGTTGCCGGACACGAAAAAAGACAAAAAAAAAAAAAAAATTCGAAGCATACCTTTCTGTGAAAGGTTCTCTGGAGGGACGATTTGACCAACACAGTTGAGCTCCACTATGACACACATGAAAGGTTCCTTTCGCTGGCAAGCACTACGGGTGTTGGCTGGAAAGGATTTGGAGGGTAGCTTGAAGGCTGGCAGGGAGTAGCCCTGCCGCCTCCTGAGCTCTTAGTCTGTCAAAATCTTGGGTTTGTATATATTCCGGAGTCTAGTAGATGAGGCCAGTAACCCACATGTGGTGTGATAAAGTGTAACCTAACATTGTCGATGGGAGGGGGATTACACTCCATGATCTTCAGAGCAAAACATGTCACTCACATAGCAAACTATGTAAGTGTTGGAATCATTTCAAAGTTTTATAACAGAGATCCACCTATGTTGTTATGTGAATTAGTAATTAGTTCATTTTGTATTGTTGAGTAGTAGTTCATTGTATGGATATATCACAGTGTGTTTATTTACCAGTTGAACATTTGGGTCGTTTCCATTTTGGTGCTATTATGAATAAAAGCTGCTGTAAGCACTTCTGTACAGAGCTTTGTCTGAACATATGTTTTCATTTCACCTGGATAAATATCTAGAAGTAGGATTCCTGAGTGAATAGTATCTGTTTACCTCTATTAAGAAAGGGCCAGAGTGTTTTCCAAAGAACTGTATAGTTTTGCATTCCCACCAGCAGTGTATGAGAGTTATAGTTATTCCATATCTTCGTTATTAGCATTTGATATTGTTGGTCTTTTAAAGTTTTTTGCCATTCTAGCTGATGTGTAATGATATTGCAGTTTTTAATTTGTATTTCTCTGACTAGCAATGTTTGGTGTCTGGTCATATGCTTGTATTTGCCATCATATTTCCTCCCTAATAAAATTTCACTTCAGTTCTTGCCCATTTAGAAAACTGGGTTGTATTACTGAGTTATAACAACTATGAGGAAGTCCTTTATCAAACATGTGTTTTATAAATATTTTCTTTCAGTATGTGGCTTGTCTTTTCATTTTCTTGACAGTATCTTTTGAACAGAAGTTGTTAATTTTGATGGAGTTTAACTCATCACTTTTTTATTTTATGTTTTCTGCTTTAAGTATTCTTTGCCTGACCCAAGTTCATGAAAATTTCCCCTATGTTTTCCTCTACATGGTTTATAATTTTAGCTCTTACATTTAGGTCTGTGGTTCATTTTGAGTTAATTTTTGTATATGGTACACGTTAAAGGTTGAGATTTATTTTTTTTGCTTATTATGGATGTCTAGTTTTTCCAGAATCAGATGTTAAAAAGACTATCCTTTCCACATTGAATTATGTGGGCACCTCTGTTAGAGCATTGATTTGAGGCTTCTTTCCTAACATAAGGATTGAATGTTATAAATGAAGCACTACTCTAGCTGCATTGAACAGATTGTGCTTTCATTTTCGTTCAGTTTAAAACAGTTTTCTAATTATCCTTCTGATTTCTTGTTTTACCTGTGGGTTATTTAGAAGTGTGTTGTTTTGATATTTTTCTCTAATTGATTTCTAGTTTAATTCTGTGTGGTCAGAGAACATAAATTATATGATTTCAATCCTTTTAGATTTGTTGAGATTTATTTTATGACCCTGAATATTCTTAATCAACTCTTAACCTTTTAAAATTGTTTCTTTTTTACTATTATGCACCTAAAAATGGCAGTTTGCCAAGCTACTATTTTACATACCATTCTATGTTTAAAAAGGTAGTGAGTTAAACAGTTTACTTTACCTAATTATTAAGAATGATTAATTTTTGCTTTATTGTGTAATTAGGTTGGAATTTGCTTATTTTTGCCTTGTAGTCACAAATTTGCAAGCTGTTCTCCCCTCTCTGTGCTTCTCATAGGACTCAGATCTGGCAAACTTGGTGAACAGTGTGAAGCAGTTGTTCGCTTTCCCAGACTTTTTCAGAAGTATCCATTCCCTATTCTCATCAATTCTGCTTTCCTAAAGTTAGCTGATGTTTTCAGGGTTGGGTAAGTCTCGTTAAAGTCTCAGTGTCCTAAAGCACTTTGTTCATATTTCTTTGTTTTATGTTGCAATCTTTTTCTTTTTGCCTTTCAGAACTTTCACATGGTTAGTTACCATTTTAGTGAACACACATGACAATGTGTAGCACTTTGGCATTAGATTTAATGATGTCTTAAGCAAAAATGAAGAGTATAATTCAGAGACTTAATCTGTTTGGGGAACAGGGTAAATCAAATTAAGACAGCCTTAATATACTACTGTATATTTCAGAAAAATCAGTGGCTTTGTACAGATTGTTTTGAGAAGTTTCTGATTTAACTTATTTTATAAGAGATGTATGTCTATGAAGTATCTGAAATATATAAGCACTGAATAAAATACCCATTTGCTTTTTTCTCTCCCCACCATTCCCTCTCCATTCTTTCTGCCATTCTGCATGCACTCATGTGCTTATACATACAATAAATAAGACTTGAAGGAGAAAAGAAGTTGTGGAAGTAGCCCAAGAGAGGAGGAGGACCATCTGACGCCCCACCATTCCCTCTCCATTCTTTCTGCCATTCTGCATGCACTCATGTGCTTATACATACAGTAAATAAGACTTGAAGGAGAAAAGAAGTTGTGGAAGTAGCCCAAGAGAGGAGGAGGACCATCTGACGTTCTGGCACCAGTTATAAAGTGATTGAGATTGAGTTCAGTCTCGGGGCTTCTCCTTGTGTCACTGCCATTTTGGTGTCTTGCAGCATGACTTCAGGCATAGCTAACTGCTTATGTTTAGTATCCACCTAAAGTACAAACTTTAGGTACCTCTCATAGTGGTGAGACAAATAATGATAAGATTGAAAAACATTTGCCTGTTTCTAAAATTTAATGTCATTGGTGTTGCCTTGGTCCTAAGTATTACTTTCTGAAGTGACCTAATTTATTTTATCTCTGTTTTTTCTAGAAACAATTTCCTGAGACTATGTGTTCTTAAAGTTACCCAACAAAGTGAGAAGCATTTGGAGAAGATTCTAAATGTGGATGAATTTGTAAAGAGAATTTTCTCTGTGATTCACAGTAATGATCCTGTGGCAAGAGCCATCACACTCCGGTATACTGTGTTGCTAATAATGATTCATCATAGATGGTTTAAGCTGTAATTATGTACAAAAAAGCAATATATTTACTTTTGTCATTTTGGATTTTAAGGATTTGTTTTTGGTATTTTTGACTAAGACTCAATGCAAAAATATGGTAACTATCCCAATCTATAAATTCTTTTCAGTTAACATACATATCACTGTTTTGATTGCAAATTGTTCCCTAACTTGTGTTTGAAACATTTTCTATGTAGGTAGGTGTTCTGATCAAATAACTTGATGGATCTCAGTATAACTCATTCTCAGCTCATTTTGAACTTTTGCCTTTCTGACCTGTTTTCATTGTTTCCTGTCAGTTTTCTATATTCATCTTTGGTTATGTGATCATTTTGTATGTGCTAATTTGTGTTCGAACCCATTGGAGAACACCAGATATAACCACTGTAGTTTCTTTAGCCTTTCCTTTTCTTTCTTGGCATTTTTTAAAAAATATACTTTGTTAGAATTTCATTTTTTACGCCTTATATCTATCTCGAACTGTATTCTCTTTTAGGCTCTGCTGTCTGTGGAACTACGTGTGTTTTGGTCTTTTTTAAATTTTTTGAAATTCACTTCCCTAAATTATAGGTCTCATTTCTGATTTACCCTGACCATACGATTCTCTTTTCAACCAGGAAGTGCAGTAGGTCACTTCTTTTTTTTTTTTTTTTTTTTTTTCTTTTTTTTTTTTTTTTT